ATGAAACGCGGGACGGGGCTCTTGCTTTCCTCGCCTTTTCCACTTTAGTCACCTCATCAGCGTGAACGCTCCGCTTTGGCTCCTGCTCAAAGGGGCTGGAGACGACGACAAGGGGCCACCAGCTCAAACAGCTAAACGGTGGGCGGGGAGAGAAACAAAGACGTTCAAAGATATAGATCAAGCCTTGTTACGTCGCTACGGACGCCTCTTTCGAGCTCGAGCTCGCCACCTAGATCCATTAGGATCCCCGCCTAGGCTCACATTGAACGCATTCTCCTTCATCAAAACTCAATTTATCGTGCCACCTGCCATTCAGAGATTAGTGACGTGGAGAAACAATCTTGATAGAATCGTAGAGGAGTCTCTGTGCGGCCAAAGAGTATATTTCATTCTCCCTCTAATTTTCAGACGCACAAAATTGCTACTGCTACCGGACGATTTGAATTTGTCAACCGGGGAAACATGTATATCAAGGGGAAGGTTAGTTTCTTTTTGTTCAAAACTAGAACTGGACTACCCACCAGCAATTTTCCTGTTCAGGGAGAAGTGGAAACCTATTTCCTACTCAAAAGTACAAAGAAGAGCGTATGGGAAATCATCGACCGAGAGCGAGGTAATCTTGATTGTACAGCTCGTGAACCAGAGAAGCGCAAGGTGATGCGAGCAGAGCCTAAATTCATCCAGGGTCAACCGTGACGTTCGCACATTTTCAGAAAATTTCGCGACCCCTCCTTTCAGGGGGTCTCGATGCGACCCCCCCCACCACCACCATGAGACTCAGGAGGCTCCCCAATACAACCCCTGCCTAGCCCCCGACCGCCACCCTCATATCTTTTTCTATAGTAATATTTGATTCTGAAACCAGTCGACATAACCCAACTCCGCCCATTCGCCCATTTCCCCTCCAAAAAGACGTCAAGGGGGGGGGGGGAGGGGTATTACTGCACAATGAAACGGCTAATTTTCTCTTACCACTACTATCCTACCCTCCTACCCCAACCCCACACCATCCACCGTACACCAATTACATCCTCCAAAATCCCTACCGATCTAAATCACCTCGCCCTCCACCTCCACTCAACAAATTACTAATCCCACTCCACCACCCCTGAATGCGACCCTCCTTCTCAAAATCAACCACAAATACGATTTCCTCGTCCAAAAAGTGCGAAAGTACGGTTGACTCTGGATTCATCATCATTGCTAACAAACCACAAACTTTGTCTGAATGCAGCCGCTCCGCGAGCGCACGCGTCAGTGGCATTGGAGCTGCACAATCACCTGGCGTTTTTCCATGAAATTCAATCATTCGTAATCATTCTAGATGTCAACAAGAATTCCATCGACGGCTATGAAGAACTCGAGACGGGCATGGCTTACTCCGAAAGACGGCAGTTTATTATACAACCATTAGATAGTGTTTCGTCTAAAACTTGCACAATAGCATAAACATGTTTCATTGGTTGTCCTCGAGAATTCGAGAATGCAAAATCAGTAATGGTTGAAGAACGTAATCACAACATGTACTATGATCCTGCATCGATCCAACAGTTCTGCCGTCACGCGACCGCTCGCGTCTTATGTGTTAGATTTTCCTCTTTGATCGTATTCAATCTACATATCACTTTTCATATTTTGACAAAAACACAATTTTATTTGTTTATTTATTTATTTCTGGACGCAGAGACTGCGTGATATTGAGCAGTACTACAAAAAGAAAAGCCAAAACCACTACGCCGAAGAAAACAACGAGTAGAAAAGAACACACAAAGATACATAAAAAACAATCAATAAAATCAGCCTAAACGATCAATCGCATGAAGACCATATGTATGTATCAAGAAACCTCTACAATGGCCGGCTTAACGGCAATCCAGCTATTATTCTTGGATATCACCCCAGTGGAGAAAAATCTGCCTACGAGGTTTTACCTATTAGACGTTCATAAAAGCAGTGCAGACGGAACTACGCTCTCCTTCCTAATTGTTTGCTGTGGCGCACGCGAGGTACCGTATGCACCACCATGTGGCGCACGCGCGAGAGGTGCGGAACTAAAGCCGCCCTGGCAGACGGCTCCGCCTACCCAGTACTGTTCTCGTCCGTTACGTGTTGAAATTAATGATCTGAGACCACCCGCTCTTCAACCGTGTGGTTCGCAACATATCCATGGTTAGTACCAGACTTCGTGAATCCAGCGAGTCGCGGAGTTTGAACGTATGTGCCAGGAGTCAAGGACTGAAAAAGTGTTGAATTTTGAGCTTGCCAAATTTGAGTGGTCTAAACCACCGGAGATGTTAGCTCAACCGACACTACATAATGTCAAACTCAATTCATTATTGAAAGAGATCTGTGAGTTTTGTACCTTAAACTTATCCAGTCACAACCTCTTCTAATCATACGCTATTGGGATGGCAAACACGACTCATATCGTTCTCCTTTTTTCCCCAGCAACATCGCCTACAACAATGTTATAGAAATGCGGCCATCGCTTCGCGACCGCGCGTATCTCGCATCATGCTAGTTACACGGGTTTCACCTAAACCATTCATTTATTCGTTGTTTTTCTCTGGAAACTGTTATTCGCAACCGTCAAAGATGTCAATACGAACTCTCTCGAGACTGTGACGAATTCGCAAACGCCTTCTCGGGGGCACAGGTCGTCTACCCAGCAAGGCGCATGCTGACGAGTAACGTCGACGAGCTTCCTGTACCTCCCAATTATTCACTACAGATCTTGAGTGGGAGGGGACATCCTTGTGTGGGCAATAGTTTGTCGTGGCAGCAGGAAATTTCAGGCTCTACGTGACCCAATTCTATGCGCGAACACAAAAGAGATCAAGAATTAATGTCTCGGCTTTTCTGCAGCGAGATGTCCTCATTGGCGGAGTGCCCCATTTTCTTAATGGGCTCGTAAGAGACAAAAGAGAGTGGATCTAATTACATCACAACGTGGCTGCATGTTCCCATTTTCCATGTTTCCTTCGTCATCGCTCAGTATTAGCCCCTCTGCCCCAATTTGCTGAAACCTCGGCGACCCAGGTGTCAATTGTCGCGTTCGCACTTTTTTTCAAAATTTCACGACTCCTCGGCGCCACTATGGGCGCATGCATAGTCATCGTCTGACCGTAACGATACGTCATGTAACGTCGAATACTCAGGCAAGTCTGACGATCGATACGCCGACTGCGCGCGGACATTACGATCGCCACTGTCGACGACGACGTGATGCATGCGCCCTATCAGCCTTAAGAGAATCCCTATACACGACCCCACAGCCTACCTCCACCATCTCTAACATGGCTGTTTTTACACCAGTTGATTCTGACCATGAGACTAGTCCACACACTCCAACTCCAGTCACACTGCTTAGTGTTCTCCGAAGTTTTTTGTCAAATCGTCGGCCGAGAAAATACAAAACGTCCAAAATGCCCCCTCTCCTGCTGTAACGCGCCCCATCAATTTACAGGGTGGGGCAAAATTACTGGTGCACTAAATTTTCAATGGCATTTTGACAATAATTCTCACAAATCAATTCTAATTATCAATATTATTTACTACAAACATGACAATACAAAAAATGTTAATGCTTCTCAAAATGATCTCCTTTAGCCTTCACACAGTCCTTCAGACGTTCGACAAATGCTTCGCATGTGGCACGCAGGTACTGGTCATCGATTTCGTCCCAAGATTTTGAAAGCGCCGCCTTAAGAGAGTCCAAGTTTGGATGTCTGGTAGAACACGCTTTTTGCTCTCCGGTTCCCCATCGGGTTTAGATCAGGAGAACTGGAGGGCCATTCGTCGTGTCTGATGAAGTCGGGCAGGTGCTCGGCGCACCACTCCTGGACCATCTTTGCTTTGTGTGCTGGAGCAGAATCCTGCTGGAAGCACCAGTAGGCTTCTCCGAAATGGGAGTTGGCCCACGGCTTGAGAACTTCCTCCAGGATATTTTTGTAAACCTCTGCGTTGATTTTTACACCAGCTTCAACGAAAACAAGTGGGGTCTTCCCCGTAGAGGTGACTCCTCCCCAAACAAGAATGGACTGGGGGTGTTTCGCTCTTTCCTGGAGTCTTGCCTTGGTGGTAGCATCAGCAAGTGATCCTGCAATAATCCTCTCATTTTGGGAGTTGAAGGCTGGATTCAGAGTAAAAATCTTTTCATCACTGAAAACGATGTCTCGGGCGCGTGCCACCGTGAATCGCTGCAGCAACTTCTTGCATCTCTCCAATCTCCTTTTCTTCATAATGTCCGTCAGGAGTTGGCATTTCTGCAAGCGATAGGGGAACTTCCTTAGCTTACTTCTGACAATCCTCCTCATTGACCTCGCGCTTACTCCAACGTCTTTCGCCATCTGGCGCATCGATCTCCTGGCGTTCCTTCGAATTCTTTCTCTGACGAGCCTCACATTTCTCCGACTCGTAGCTGTTGTGGGACGTCCTCTTCCTTCCCTGTCCTCTTCGGTCTTCAGTTCTTTATAGCGTCGTACTGTATTCTGAACCGTCCTTCGAGGTACGGAAAGGATCTTCACAATTTCTCTTGTTTGCTTGCCGTCGTTGTGAAGTTTGATGATCGCGCTCCGTAGGTCAGAACGACGGACCATTTTGTATTCGAGTACGTAGGAATTACGCAACCTCCAGGCAACATATCACAAGCGAGTGAAACAGGAAAATCTCCAAGAAGTGTTAAAAAATTCAAAACGTATAGGTGCACCAGTAATTTTGCCCCACCCTGTAAACGAATGCGATCCCTTGTTGGGATAGATTTGGACAGGATGGTTTTGACCCTCGCTGCGACCCTACCACCTCTACCTGTATTGAGTGGCGAAATTGGAAGAACAGATTGATCGATGTACCGAACCGAATCCCGACGGCGTCGTCAGTCAAGCGTTGTGTAGGAAAAAAGCATTGAGGGGCTTTTTCTCCATGGGATTGATTTCACTTTTTGGGCGATTTGTAACACACTACGCTCTCGTTTCCAACGCCCGCATACTGAACTCCCTAACATTATATTTCAACCATTCTCGAAACAAGCACATAGCGAAAACGGTAGCACACCGACCAATCCCTGTGCGTATTGAGGGGCCACATTCGAAATTCTTGAATCAATATTATCACCTCAGGGAACCAGATATTGTCAGAGCCATTTTCAAAAGAAGGAAGAGCGGAAAATGGGTTCATTGGTCTGATCTGGTCATCAAACCCTATGGTTTAGACCTGTGCTCCCTTCAAGCCAGACTACTATCACCATTCTGCCTCCCAAGATCTAGCTTAGTCTCAGATCATGAACCACCTACTTCTCGGAAGTATCGGTCGACCAGGAAGAGAGACTTTGTAGCCAAAATGGTAAACTTCCACACTTCGTATAATGTCCTGAGAATACCCCCTATCGAACCCCAAAGATCTCTCGAATTCTGCCACGCCCAACGATGCGGCTTCCACGAGTACGACAGCTTTTTAAGAAAATAAGAAACCCTCGACATCGGATCCTGCGACAGACAACCCACCACGCGAGGTCTTTTCTTATCCGTTCGACCTCCCGGCAAGATAATCGCTTGCGCCTGCTGTTTATTGCGTCAAGTGGCGTGGCGTTTTCGCCGTATCGATCGGGCCGGTTTCGCTGATGCGCGTCGCGTGCTGTCACTCGGCGCACGCCGCTCCGCTGGCAGTGTCTTTCCTCATCATCTTTCGCTTACAATCTTGTTCCATTTTACCAAGTTGCTGTCAGAAGTCGGTCTGTTCCTCTGAACAACTGTTTGGGATGGTTGGTGTTCAACTTTGGAGGTTTATTTGGGTTGAAGTCCTCACTGATGGGCCTATTGGTCGACATTCCCCAAAGTGCGCACGCATTCTTGGACGCCCGGGGACTTCATCGCTATTCTTTCTGCGAGGCCCTTTTTCATTACTTTGATACAAATGATTGGGAGTCATCCACGTTCATCATTTGTGAGAACTCTTGGGTTTCATCCTGCAAGGGAGGGTGAGGGAATGTGATGTGACGTGTTCGTTATCAGTAAGGGGGAGCTCTGGGGGATGTAAAGCAGAAGCAAGATGATCCAACGCACTGCCGGATTTTTTCCCTGTCAAAAATGGAATTCCAATAGCGGCAGCAAGTGTCGATCCTGGGCCTGGTTCGCTAGGAAGCGGCTTTTTCGTATTCCGCAGCGCGGAACACTTTCCGTTGCGGGGACCTCAAGTACGCTTAGACCACGGGCGGACCTGGGGGCGCTGCGAAAGCGGAAAATCGCTCTCTATCCTTGCACCATGCCTGCCAAATGCCCTCCTCTCTGGATAAGACCCGAACTTTTATTAAGAGAGCCAATAATCTCCCCAATACTCAAGTCTCTTCTAGTCTCTCTACAGGGAGTACTCTTGTTACCTACCCTGGTGCCTAGAAGGGGCTTGAGTAGCGGGGTTATG